AATTTTAATATAATTTATATATTTAAATATTATGTTTATTTATATATAATTTATTATAAAATTTAATCATATAATAAACACACATGTGTATTGCATAGGCAAAAATACTAGTTTATTTTAAAGTAATAAATTTTAATTTATAAATAAATATGATAAATCAAAAATTGAATTAAATAATAAAAAAATTAAAATAATTTATAAATATACTTTTGTGGAAGAATAACTCCCTAAAAATGTTCTCATACAAAATAATTATTCATGTTTAATATATATAATTAATTTTGACAAAAAAAAATTAAAACTTAAAATTATACTACTCAACTCTACCACTGTTAATCCGGTTTATAAAATTACTAATATTTACTTTACTCTTAAATATATTTTTTCATTTTAGAAGAACTTTTTTTTAAGTTGGCCTTGGAGAAAAAATTTGGAAGCATGTATATAAGAAAAAAGAATATAAATGATTTAATGTGGTATTATATATATTGTAAATTATTTGATGTTTAAATTACTTATAACATTATATATGAATGTATTTTAAAATTAAAGAGTTTTTCTTAAGGAAAAAATTAGGCTTTAGTTATTTTTTAGTTAAAATTATCTTTATCTCAATAATGATTACTTTTATTTTAGTAACTAAAATCATAAGTCGTTATCAAAATAAAATATTAATTTTGATTGAAAAAATCAGTACTCCTAACATCTACATTGTTGTTTTTTTTTTTTTATTAAAATCAAGTTTTTGTAATAATTATAATTTTTATGAAAACTAGTTAGAATATATAGTGTGAAAAACAACATGAATTGGAGGGATGAATTTAAATATATGGAAAAATAAAATAGGTTTTTTTCTTTTCAAATTTGATATAATTTTATTTATTTTTTAAAATGCTACTGTTTGTAAAACACCGCTTTAAAAGTGAAAGTCGTATTCTAAAACAATTTGTATTTTTTATTTAGAAAACATAACTCAGTGTGACTTAAAAAAAAAAAGAATTATGTAAAAAAAACAATAATTTAACATAAAAAAAATATCTGTCTTTTTTTTTTAAAATTAAAAGTATAAAAGTCGTATTTTAGAAATGACTTCCAAGATTCATAAATACATCTTACTCATTTCAAGAATTTTTTTTAAAGAAAAAATACAATTCAGAAAATTTTTAAAATAATTGTCCCCTTACATCAATTTTCCAAAATGATTAGAGGAAATCTTCCCCAATAAAATGACACAAGTGAGAGAAAGAAAGAAAGAAATTATAGATATGCTAAATAATATAATATTATACAGATGAGAAATAAAAATAAATGATAAGTATTAAACAAGGTGTGTAGAATGAATAATATATATTTATCGATCATCACTCAGACACATAATTTTTAATTTTTATATTTTAGAAGTTTGAATGTGTTCTCATAATATATATTTGTTTGATGATAAAAATAATAAATAAGAAATGACACTTTCATAACTATATTATATGTTGAAATTCTTAAATTAAATATAATTATCTATTTAGTAATTAATCGACATTTAATATTGTCCAATTTAATCCAAAATATTATTTATCAAATTGGAAGCAAATAGAAATTCATCAAAAGAAATTTATTTCTGACATTTAAGAATTTTCTTGAATAAATATATTTATAATATATATATATATATATATATATATATATAATATCAAAATAAAATTTTATTGACACATATATCAAACTTACATCATAAAATACATAAACACGAATAACATCCTATACCATTCTTCTCATCCCACGATCGCATAATATATATTTGTGAATGTGTCCCTTACCACTTTTTGTTTAAATAAGTGTCCATGCAAGTTTAATCCCAATAAATAAATAAATAAATATATATTACCTTGGATCTTAAAATGGAAAATAAGTGGGACCCTAATTGTAATCAACGCAGAGACTTTGTTATCTCATGCATTGTAAAAATGATTCAGTGGATACTTGACCCTCCACAGGACTTTGTTGAGAGATTCTCAACAAAGTCTTTTTTACACGTATAATTAGATAATTGAATCTTGTTATTATGAAGAGACTTAGTATGCGTTTGTTTTATTTTTTTTTTCTTACATTTCAAAGCACGTTCAACGTATATTACTAATCACATAATTTTAACGTATAACAGAATCGAATGATAATATAAATATGTTGTTAGTTATCTACCAACTATACTACACCTTATGGATAAATTATAAATATATATCATGATATAAATAGTGAAAATCTGATAAAATTTAATATTTTATAATAAATTTGTTGAAAGGAATGATTTTAGAGAAAAGTAATGTTCAACTAACTATAAATGTTCCAACTACCTAACAAAGATAAACTTAAATGGTCAACTTTCAACTACCATTCTTCTCTGTTTCAACCCCCCTGCCATGACATGCCATCCAATCTTCACGAGCAACCATTGTCCTTTCTATCACCTTCTTGCTTCTATATATTAATACCACCAATTACCATTAACCTTGTCTTCAACACACACTTCATTCTGGGCGTCTTCATTGCACCACACTCACTCAAACAATGGCTGACTCAGATCGTTCTTCCACTGAAATTTCTACAGATTCCTCTGGTATGTATACACTCTATTCCTTCATTATATCTATCAATTTTTTTTTATTATTATTTTAAACTTTCCTACAAATTCTTCCTACTTACTAAGTAGATAATTTTTTTATTTTTTTTTTGTATTTTAAAGATATTTCGTTGTGGGTCACTCTTTCACTCTTTTAAGATGAAACAGTACTTTCGGAATTCCTAGTCTTTGAATCTTATTCTTCTGGTCCTTCCTTCATTGTTAACTTTCTTTTATAAGGTTTTTATTAACATGGGTACTTAAGCACGGACTCTAGAGTTTATGGCAAACACTCACATTACTATTTAACTTGTTATTATACATGGGTTGTTGAAAGTGGAAAGTATCACATATAAAAATATACTTATTGTCAAAAACGTTTTTCACAAGTATGCTTGGTCTTTTAATCAAATTTGAGAATGAGATATTTTCTTTTAAATTCAGGGAATCGTGGCTCTTCAAAAGTTGAATTTTCTGAAGATGAGGAAACTCTTATCATCAGAATGTATAAACTGGTTGGGGAGAGGTGAGAAATTTTCCTTTTTAATGCTTTTCTCTCTTACCCTTTTTGAACACAGTGCAGATCAAGCTTGTGAAACAATATGTTATGTTTTAGGTGGTCTTTAATTGCTGGGAGAATTCCTGGAAGAACAGCAGAGGAAATAGAGAAGTATTGGACTTCGAGATTCTCGAGTTCGAGTGAATGAAGTTGCAGAGTACTACTACAAATAGTGTTCAGTCTAGAGCAAGAAGATTTTGGGTGTAAGATTAGTGTAAGTTGTGGGAGTGATTTTGTGAAACATAAACTGAAAGTTGGCCTTATTAGTATTTGTATTGGTTATTAAGAAAAAGGGGGCAGCAACTATAAAAAACCAGTTTGTGTAATATTATTCCATCTTGAAATGTTGCTTGGTGTGATATTTATTATTTTCCATCTTGAAATGTTACTTGGTGGTTGTCTTCAGTACTGATCACCTTCGGTTTTTTTTTTTATACTCATTTAGCATTTTCTTGAGTCTGCAACAATCTGTATTGGAAGAGTCCAACTTGGATATGAGAATTGGAGGCAGATTCAGTAGTGTCATTCTTTATTTACATGCATATATTAGGTCCAAAAGAGACTAATGATGATGGGTTGGAAACTTGGAATACACTATGATCTAAGCACAATCATAATAATTAAGTGTTCCACACATGTTTAGATCTCTTAATTAGTACTAACATTAAATATGAATGAATTCTTAAAATTTAGTACCCCTACCAAAAAATGGATGACACTATTTTGAAATCACACCTTCATTTTCAAGTTTTTTCAAGAGTGCCTGACATTATTTTGGAATTACACCTTATTTTACATTAGTAGAAACTAGAGGCTACCAATGGGACATCATGTCTATTTCATCTGCTTCTGTTTCCAATAATATAACCACTATTTTTCATTAGTACGATTTTTTTTTGGATAATAATTAAAAATAAATTCATGAAGATTTAAATTTAAAATAGATAATATTAAATTAATATGAAGATAATAACAAGATACCACACTCCTCATACTAATGCAAGAGGCGTGTGAATACCCCTCAGAACAAATAAAAAACAAGTTGTCAGCACTTCTCTTTTCTTCATGGTAATTTGTCTTTGAAAAAATATGGACATGTAATTAAACGTGCCACATTCCATGGCCAAGTAGAAAAGACAAAAAAGAACCCAATTCATATTGTAACAAGATAATTGGTGGGGTTCTCCCTCTGGTTGATATATGACTTACAAAGAGAATAAGATATAAGGGGTGGTCCCTCAGGTCTATATATGGTCTACCAGTGTGGTCCCTCAGGTAGCTTATGAAGTTATGACCTACCCTGATTGTATCTCATGAATGAAACAGGAATACACCTAAAACAATAGTTACCTACTTATCTAGTTTGGTAGGAAATGACTATATATATATATATATATATATGGATTATAACACAGTAGTTTTCAAACTCAATTTCAACCACAAACAAATCAGTTTGCGGTTAGTATAATGAAATTAGACTAGTTTTTTTTTTTTTTTTTTTTAAGTTTAAACCTCATAAATAGAAGAAAATAATAATAATTCGAAGAAAAGATTTCACTAAAAAGTTATTTTTTAAAATTTTTCTGACAAAAGTTAGTCATTGACAAATTTTTTAAATACTTAATACAAATAATAAAGTTAAAAAAAATTCTCAAATTTTAAGTGATCTTGATTTGTAAACTAAATAATTTAAATCTAAACTATATAATAAATTCATTTGATATAAAATAATTTAAGAATTTATAATAAATTCAAAAATATAAGTTAAATTTTATCAAAGTTATACTAAAAATATAATACTATAGATCATTGGTTCATAGAGTAAGATCCCTGAGTGTAAAGAAAATGTTGTAGATTATAGTTATAATATGCTTTGTAACATATTATTATGCACCCAGGATTTACACAAACATGTCTCTATTTGATAAGATATTGTTTACTTTAAACTTAAATTTTTATTGATTTATATTAAATTATCACTTAAAAGATCTCTAATCAATGAAAATCGTATGTTTAAACTCATGTCCATCTTTATGACATAGGGATATAAGATTTTGATTGTATTCCAATAATTCTCCCTTCAAATAAATGACTATGATTTACTCTCTTGCAACAAAAATTTGTCCACTAATGATAGTCCATACAGTTCAATAATCACTATTTCCTTGCTAACACACGATAATGAGACACATCTCCTAATCCTCCATATTATCATGAAGGACCTCTTCTGTAAGATCCGTAGTTCTTCTTCCTCCTTCCCCTCAACACTCTCTTTTCTCCTCATTCCCTATTCTCTCATTTCAACTTTTTGAGATTCCTTGTGGTATTGAAGGTGCTACTTAGAAGTGTGGGTAGCTAGTCGAAAGCGCGGACCTTCTCCTTCTTCTTCTTCCTCTCCCTGAAGCTCGGATTCTACTTCTCTAAGGTAAGGGAAGTAGATTGTAAACTCGTTGGTTGTGGGTGAGTTTAAGAACTCATTTGGAGTAAAAAATTGTTGAGAATCATTGATTAATTTGAAGAATTTCTCATTTTCGGGGTTTTGGGAAAATTGGGAAATTTGGTGATTTTTGATGCGTTTTAGGGTTTCATGTTGGGATTGAAGTTGTTTTTTAGTTGTATGATGTAAATGTATTTTATTTCATGGATTGCATGTGTTGAGTTGGCTGATTTTCAGGTTTTTAGTTGAAATTTTCAAAGTTGTAAGGGTTGTTGTTTGAAGTCACGCCAGGCGCAGTTCTTGGCATCGGGCGTGCGTTCATCAGGGGACTCCATTGTCCAATCACGCCGGGCTCGAGATTGGTCGCGCCGGGCGAGATTAGGAATGGAAGCCTCTGGATGAATCATGTCGGGCGTGGGGCGAACCACGCCAAGCGTGATATCATATGTTTGCCCTCTATTTTGGTTACAGATATGGCGCCGGGCGTGCTCTAAGCACGCTAGGCGTAGAGTCTCTCTAGGGGTCTCTGCCTGGGGTGGGACCGGGCGCAGAATGAGCGCACCGGGTGTGAGACCCTGGTGAGGTCTCTGCCTGATTTGCACCGAGCGCGAGTGTGGCACGCCGAGCTTGGGAGACTCTTGGAAGTCTCTGCCTACCAACACGCCGGGCGTGATGATGATACGCCGGGCATGGGAGAGCTTTAGAGCTCTCGGGTTGGGTTCAAGCTAGGCGCGAGTTTACTTGCGTTGGGCGTGAAGGTGTTTGATTCTATGCCTAAGAAAATGTTGAATATTGTGATACGATGAGAAGATGTAGTTGTGTGTTGAATCATGGTTGTGTATATGTGAAGAAATATTGTATGTATGATTTGGATAAGTTGTTTTGTTGCTAAAACATGTTGTTAAACACTGTTGAAAAGTTGTGTGTTATTTAAGTTGTTGAGCTGAGCTGTGTTGTTGAGTTGTAAGTTGATTCAGTTGTGATGATAAGTTGTTGATCACTAGGACTAGAGGAGATGTTTTCGAAGTTGTTCATCCCATTGTGCAGATTGAGATAGTTGTGGTGCTCTAAGAGCCCAATTTGTTGAAAATCCTCCTTGGGAAGTTGTCGCTTGGAGTGGACGTTGTGTTGTTCTCCTCTAGAACTTAGTTGGCCCCATGTGTGGGCAAGGTTGAGGCACATGTGTATGAAGCGACCACAGTATAGGGGTCAGGTCAAGCTATACCGATTACAAGCGGCCAATTTGAGTAAAGTACGAAGTCGGGAACTTAATTCTTAACTGGGTATTGGAGGGTTGTAGTATTTGGAGGATAGTCGGTAGGCTAATCCCATAGGTGGCTTAGTTGAGCTAGCTAATGCCGTGGTAGGCCTAAACCCAGCTGTTCTATCCTGACATAGTACTATACTTCCTTGTTTAAGTGGAAAAGTCTGAGAAATCGTGAAGTTGTGGATTGATATCCAAATTTGTTGTTTATCTAACAAGCCCAAAAAGGTTCTTTGTTGTCGGTTCAGTAGGGCCTAGCCACTTAGACTACTCACCACGTTGTAGCAGATCTCCGAGTTGTAAATGCGTGACGACACATAATTTGTTGATGAGTTGAATTGATGTTGATATGAGTTGTATATATGTTGTTGTATTGTGAAGCTGTGATTCAGTTGGGTGTTATGTGTTGAATGTTGAACTGTTGAAAATTATTGTTCTGTTGTTAAAGTTGTAAGTTATCTATATCTATATGTTGATTATTTTCACTAGTTTACCCTTGCATGTTTCCATGTGATTTGGACTGCGATGATCATACTGTATACGGGAGCAGAGCAGGGATAGGCTGGAGAGTAGTAGCAGTGTCACAGGTGGTGGCAGAAGCTAATTTTGTGTAGGCTACCTCGGTGTAGCATTTTGTTAGTATTAGATACTTGGACTTGTTGAGCCTCAGGCTAGATATATGTATATACTCTTTTATGTATGCATATTCTACTTTTGTGTGGTGTTGTTCTGCGGTGTGATGACCAGGCAGGTCATTACATTTTCTATATAAAAACCCACCATTATAAAAACTTTTGATACAAGAAATCATATATCCAAATATACATAAATCCTAAATCAATGATATAAAATGAATTTAACAATCAATAAATTTGAAAATATATCTATATTTCTTATGATGTAAGGACAATGTAATTTTTTTTATTTCTTATAAAAGACCGCAAATAATAATATGGTAGGTATTTATTGTGTAAAGCTTTCTATTTCGTGAATGGACATGATAATTTCTCACAATTTTTGTGATTCAAACACTAAATATTAAGAAAATCATTACAAATTTTAATATGTAGGTGGCTAAAGTGAGTTTATACAATTTATAAAATATTTTAATTAACTCAGGTGAATTGCACGTAACCTTTTCCAATTCTCCTATTGTGAAAAATAGAAAGTGATTCAGAATAGCGAAACTATAGAATGATGAATTACTTGCTTGGTATACATAGAAACCGTTAAAACCATTAAGATTGAGGTAAAATAACTTTTATCCTATATTATATCCTTCAACAACTTTCAACTTTTAACTAAATATAATTTTGTAGATTATAATTACATATCATTTTATAAGTATATATCAAATTACATTGGATTAATATAAAATTTTGTATATATAATTTAAGAATATATTTTTAATTTAATGATAAATTTTAAAAAAA